TTTTTGTTAGCTGTTGTTTTTTGCCATGAGCAACAATACACTGTAATAATGCAGACTTTTGAGGTGATTGAGAATTTAGAGACCCAAAGAAACGAATGAAAAAGAACGTATTTATGGCTTAATCAAGGAAATAATAGCGTTTTCTTGTAATAAAGGGGGGGGGGGGGTGTACCCCACCCTTCTTTCAGTTTCAGCGCAAAACACGTGCATCTCGCCCACGCACATGCGCATGTCGATTTTTCTCTCTGTTTTCAAAGCATTTTCCAGATCAAGAGCACATAACCCGCCAACATCAAAGCTGATCACAGAATTCTACACTTGTTGGCCTAGTGTAGAATTCTGTGAAGCTGATCAAAGTCATGCGAGATCTTCTTGTAAAAGGTACAGTTCTAGTCTATTCATGTTTAAATCCTCATCGCCGAAAGAGCGTTGGTGGTCTCGGCCGGCAAAATATCGGAAACGTTAGTATCGCATGAAAGTTCGCCAAACCAAAGAGTCTATAATATTATTATAACAATACATAATTGTAACATAATTATTTGGCCAAATACACACATGAGGAGTGTTTTGTCTGATAGGCTAGGCCTTTGGCTTGACCGAAGATTACAATGCAACTTTAGGCTATATAGGGCTATCTGTGACTGCAAGTACAATTTTACCTTGTCTTCGACCACAGGGCTAAATAATTAACCGGGCAACGAATTCCCTCCGCCTCTCTTCCATCTTTCTCTCTGTTCTAAAGGCATCGCTCTGCTTCAGGCCTGCATCCTTTTCTGTGATGTAGTTAAGTAAACGTCATTGGTAAACGTCTATCTCTTCTTCCAATCCTCTCAACCCCCCACCATCTGTTTACCGTGACCTGCAAAGGCAAACCCTTGAAATCGTGAGATGTGATATTAGTTTCCATTTAATTTTTTTCCTCGTGGTCAGGTCTTCGTAGGGGCAATAATATCGTGATACATTTCAAATTATTTTTTAACTTCATTTACAGCTTGTCCAATCATAATAATATGAAGGGAAAAAAGAAAAAAAAAACCTAATCGAAATAAACGTTTAAAAAAAATTAATTAGCTTTTATTTTCTTCGAATCTTTTTAGTGTCTATTCCTATTCGGTGCAAACCACAGAATTCTACACTTAGTGTAGAATTCTGTGGTGCAAACAGAAATAACAATTTGTGTTACAGAAAATAATCCATCCCTGACATTAATTTAACAGCATCGATACATTGGAATCGTCGAAGAGGAAAAAAGCATAACGATAAACGAGCGACGAGTGTTGACGCGAAAAGACGTAGAGATCTAGATTCTAGCTGACAAAAAGGAAGGGGCATTGACGTATTATGTGAGTATTGCTGCTATATTTTATGCTTTTATGAATAGAGATAAGACGGTTCCACAAAGGTTGAGAAACAGCTCAGCCTTTGGATTTTCGTTGAGAAGTAGAACAGTACTTTTGGTGCATCTCGTCAAAGTAAGGAAGCTCTCCTCACTCACAACGTCTCTAAAGTCTAAAGAGAGGATCAGTCAGGCAGAGCAGGGTCTAATTCAATAATAATCCCCTGCCTCTCTCCACTGCCTCTGCTTTATAACTTTATAATTTATTATTAGTACTAATCTGTGAAAGCTACTTTTAATACTGTGTTCAACTACTAGATCTAATTATTGAAACTACAGTAGCTACAGTCTACAGACACTACTAGTACTAGATCTAGTAGTACTACTAGATCTAGATCTAGAATCTAGTACTAGTCTACAGACAGAGTCTACACTGACTAGATCGGTGATTTTGTTAGTTGTAGTTTCGTTCCTTAAAGTTTAACTTAAAGTCAAGAGTAGGGGGGTTTATAGGGGGCTTGGCCCCCTGACCCAATAAAAAATATGGAGGGCATGCCCCCCTGAATTTTACTTTGATTTGATGTTTTGTAGTTAGGTTGCATCCCTGTTCTTTGTGTTGCCTATTTGATCACCAAGAAGACTTCTGAACTGGATTTCTTCTCTGGCTCTGGATGTAAACAAAAATGGATCGTGGACTTTAACGAACGGTACTACAAGATCACCCGCTAGATCTAGATCTAGTACAGCGAGTACCTCTATAGAAGTCTAGTCTAGAAAAGGATCTAGGCTAGATCTTGGGGCCTACACTCCTACACTACCTAGCACACCTGTGATAGAGTATGATTGGCCCAAATATAGAGTAATATTACCGGTTCGAGCAGCAGGTTTCGTTTTTCGTTTTCGGGCACTGGAGCGAATAAAAATAATTAGAAATTTTGTTTTTAAATCCTACCCCAAAAGAGTTGCACACAAACCGGAAGCAACTTCTCTTTCTTCAGTTGACACAACAGTGAAGGCAGCATTTTGCTAAAAAGATTAATTAAGACAGCTTTTTCGTTCATCAGGCATCAGGTGAGTAAAACAACATGACGATCTTCCACCGAAAGAGTAGGCTACACATTGGTTGTTGATGAAGAAAGCGGAAGCTTTATTATAATCTTATATTAACCCTTCAGCCTTCACTGCCAAAAGTCCACCCGTGTGCTAAGAAAATTTCGACAGTGGCTATACTATATGACATGGGCTGCTTGTTTGAATGGCTATATAGATATATATAGCTTAGCAATTCTGTTCGAGCTCCCGCGCGCAGAGAAAATTTGGTCCCCGCTTGCGGGTGAATTTTTGGACCGGGTCGGAACATTAGTGACTAACGTTCTCGAGCTCGTTCTGCGCTATTTCTGGACCTATGTAAATGCAACTTGGCAACCAATCAGAAAATAGGGCAAACTAATGATATGTTGAAGTCGAAGTTCGTACACACATAAATCAACCTGTACTTTTGGTGTCGGAAACACTTTCATATCGGGTACACCGGCTTGATATTCGTCTTCGACGCCAAGAAGGTAAGATATCTTTCCTCTAGTGTGCTCAAATTTGAACTTTCTGTGTTGAGTAGTAGTTGTTTATCATAAATGTTACGTATGCATGTACCACTACCCCCTTGTCCAAAGCGGCTTCACACCAAGACCAGCCATTTTCCTGTCGCTCCCTCGGCAAATGTATGTGACCTACAATTGCCCTAGGCTAGATCCTATGTCCATGCGTGCGGCTGTGTGCATCTCTCTGCCTTCCTCTCCGCTCGTGTGAGTGTGTGTCTCCATCACTTGCGTTCTTTGTGTTTCTCTTAACACACTCCGCTGCTGTGGTGTAGACTGTTTGATCGTCGATAGGTCATCATGAAAGTATTGACTGTCTTGTAAATGAAGCGTGCCTGAAGCCGAAGTTACTGTGCTTAAAGGCGTGTAGTTTATACAACAAAAATTTGATAAGAGCCGTTTAGCGTGCTTGAGTCCGAAATGTGCTTTTATGCTGGCGTGCTTAAAGCCGGCAAGGACTGTAGTAACTTGTGCAATGGAAGGAGTCGCACCCCATCTGTCCGTCCGCCCGCTCAAATGCATGGAGTCTCTCGGTCCGCCCGTCCGCTCGCTCGCTAAACGAACTGTTGTCTCTATCCGATGTGTAGCGAGTAGCAAAGTACTCTTCACAAGCGGGCGGCTCGTTTGCGGATAGTGCCAGCGAGTAGTTCGTTACTCGCGGACGCTGATTTTGCAAGCCCAACCCAACTCTTGTCTAAAGTCATCAAAGAAAGCTTTGCAATTATTTAGTCACGCTGCCAACATAGGTAGATTTTTACTTTCACTCCCGCTCACAGATGCACTTCTTCGGGGGTCAAGCTGCAATATTGTTTGCTGCAGATCACACATAAAACCACTAAAACCATCGCAAATGAATTACTTTCAAGAAAATTTCAAACGTAACTAAAATATTAAAATATGGGTTAACACAGGTCGGCATGCCCCCCCCCCCCCCCCGATTTTTTTTTCCCCAGGCGGGCAGGCCCACTTGAACACTGATACTTTTCTTTATATTAACCTATGTTGTCTGGTCTGTTCATGTAGTTTTTATGTTTATTTCCGTGAGCCAGAACATAGGAAAACTAGCAATGCACATCAATCACAGGGTTATAATAGGAATAATGCTTAGACCATTGCAAGAGTGCTTTACTACGAGACAAAAACTGGACTCATGGAGAATGCAGAGATCTAGAATCCAGATCTATCGTCAAATCCAATGGACAAGTCATTAACTTTTGCGTTTGTAAATAATAATATTCTCAAAACCCATAATTTCTAATTCTAAAACTGCAAAATACTATAGACAGCTGTACCTTCTATGTCGTCTGAGCCTGGGCCTGAGTCAGAACCAGCATCGCTTCTGTCTTCTCCTTCTGCTTCTCCATTGTTGTATTCCTGATCGCTGTCATCTTGGAGATTGTCAAAAACACTTTCATCAGATGAATTGAAATCTTCATCACCTCTGTCTGCATCCCGATAAATTTCAGCAATAGCCTTATCAGTAGAGCTGTGCCCATTCAACTTAACTATTCGACATTCATGATTTTTGCGCTATTCACAGCTATTCGAAGTGTGGCAGAGCCATTCGAATGCCGTGTGATTTTTTTTTAACAGATACTGGATTTTTGTCTCATTTTTCTAAAACATAGAAAAATTGGAGTACATTATATCCAAAATCATTAAGATAAATATACAGAAATACTCTTTATTTGATGGTTACAAGACAGAGTGATAAGAGGAGCCTACAAGAGTTATAAAACATGCCTTTAGAGAATATCTCTTACTATTCAATATTCACTCGTCACACTATGGACAGCTCAAGCAAGGGCACTTGACTCGTGAAACGCAGCGAATGTTTTTTCCATGAAGTTAGCTGTTGCAATGAATGAGCTCCCCTAACCCTACTCGAAATTCGACGCGCTATGAACGGTGACGTGATGTCAACACGTTGCACTGTCTGCGCGCATGCGACAACAACACACGCACGCTCGGTGACTAGCGTTCGACGGCGCTCCGAATTGCAGAAGTTAGATCTGGGCTTATCACATATAAGAAAAAACGATTCGACGGCGATTCGAATTGCGGAAGTTAGATCTGGGCGTATATTTTATAAGAAAAAAACTATTCAACGGCGCTGAGAATACCGGAAGTTAGATCTGGGCTTATCACATATATAAGAAAATACGGTTCGACCGAGCTTCGAATTGCAGAAGTTAGATCTGGGCGGATCTTATGTAAGAAAAACTATTCGACGGCGCTGTGAATACCGGAAGTTAGATCTGGGTTTATCACATATAAGAAAATGTGCTTCGACCGAGCTTTGAATTGCGGAAGTTAGATCTGGGCTTATCACATAAATATAAGAAAATATGATTCGGTGATGTTTCGAATTGCGAAAGTTAGATCTGGGCTAATCTTATATAAGAAAAAACTATTCAACGGCGCTGTGAGTAGCGGAAGCTAGATCTGGGCTTATCATGTATAAGGGCGATAACATAATGTACGCTGAAACTTAAGCGGCTGAAGATCGAAGTTGACAGGCACCAGTATGTGTCTGCTTGACTCCACATAGAGGGCGCCTAAAGCCTAGATCTAGATATAAGAAAAAAAATTACTCCACAACACTGCTGGTATTTATGAAGCATTTATTAGGGGATTTAAAAAACTCAGAATTCCTAAAATGTTGCTTAAAATGTAATTCTGCTCTGTTGCCACCCTAATTTGACGACGCTGATTTAAAAAATGTAATTAGTTTTTGTCTATTATGAAGCACTAGCTCTGAAATGGCCATTTAAAATTGTCACCTGTCCTGTCAGGTGACGTCACGCAAACCGCTCAACCCGAGTTGGCGACCGGCTGACGGCATGAGTTTGCGAACTCAGTGCTTTCTTATCGCATCTCCATTTTTTAATATCAGTGAAAGCAGTTCACAACGAAAAGTGAGCTTAAGAAGAAGTCACATTTTCACTGTTAATAAATGGAGATACGATAAGAAAGCATTGAGGTCGCGTGTTGACTGCGAGACGCCCTTCCCAGCTTTTCGGCGTAATTAGCATGTAGTTTGAATTCAGATAAAGCCGAGAACGCCGACCCGAGCTCAAAGCCGCCTGCAGTCTGCCAGCTCTATGTAGGGCAAGTTGGAAATCATAAGGGAATTTTTGTACCTATCAGCGCTTACTGAGTCAGTCTCCGAAATCAGCATTCTCTATGTTTTTCGCCCTAAGAAAATATGATTCGGCGGCGCTTTGAATTACGGAAGTTAGGTCTGGGCTTATCATATTTAAGAAAAAACCGTTCAATGGCGCTGTGAATAGCTAGCAAATGTAGAATAGCAGAACTTAGGTCTGGGTTTATGCTTATCATATATTAGAAAAAAACATTCGACGGAGGATTCGAAAATCATGAATAGTGAGCTCACGCTTCGAAGCTTAGA